AGTCCCGCTGTCTGCGGCTCCGGAGGGTTTTATACGGCCGGTACCTGCGCCAGGCAGGGCGATGAGGTAATGCAGCTCAGCGCAGCTAAAAATAGCGCAAGGCTGATGTCATCCCCAGCCAATCAGCGCGCTGCCTCTGCCAACCCCCCCCCCGCGCGCCCCGAGAGGAATCCCGCACACGCGCGAGGCCGGCACGAAAACAAAACACCCCCAGCCTCGGCTCGCGGGTCCCCACGTCCTGCGGTCGCCATGGCAACAGAGCATCTCTCTCCCTCTCTCTCTCTCTTTCTCTCTCAATTCAATTCAAGGTGCTTTATTAGCATGACCGATGGGTCCAATCAGTATTGCCAAAGCAAATGAAATAATAAAATTAACATGGAACAAAACAAAAAATAAAAGTAAAATAAAATCTACAGACATTTACAACAGAGACATGTCATAAAATATTGACATATACTGTAAACAAATTGAGCATTATTGGGATCAGGCTCTCTATCTCTCTCTAATGGAAACACGGACACAGCGCGCCTCATCAATGGGCGATAATCACGACAATCACCCACACCTCTACCGCGCTGGAAAAGCACCTCCAGTTCTGAAACATGAAGCCCCACCGGGAAAGAGCCGCAGGACTGGAAGGAAACGACAGGGCTGAAGTAGGGTGGTAATTAGCTCAGCGCACCGCCCGCTTGAAAACAACATCCTCCTGAGTGCGGGTGGGTGCGGCGCGCCGGGGCGGGCCAGCATGCTCTGGAAGTGCTGCAGCTGACCCAGGAAGTTGAAGTTGGGCGAGATGGAGGGGCGCCTCTCCTTCACGAACCTGCGGAGAGAGAGACCGAGTCACCGCTGCTGCACCGGCAGAATGATACAGGCAGAAGGACACAAGGTGGCAGGAAGACAGAAGGACTGACTGACCGGTAGGCATCGTCCAAGCCGAGTCCCAGGTGGTGCATGATGTAGGCGACAGCGAGAGCTGGAGACCTAGAGACTCCGGCCACACAGTGCAGCAGCACAGCTCCTCTCTGACAGCGAGCCTGGTCTGAGAGAGAGAGAGGGGGGGGTTAATCTGGACACACTGACTGGCTGGACTGTAGAGTGACCGGGAAGAGGAAGAGGAGCAGGGTACCGATGAAGGCCAGTGCGGCGGGGATCCAGGGCAGCAGCTGGTCGCTGAGCGAGTCGTCGATGGGAACGCGCAGGAAGCAGGACGGCGGCAGGAAGTGGGGCTGTGGACAGCAGCGGCTCACACTCAGGACATGAGAGATCCCCAGAGTGGACAGGCCGTCCTGCGGGAGAGGAGAGCGTTATCCCACACCCCTGCAACTGACCGGGCACACTGACTGACCACACACTGGCCACCTCTCCCACTGCAACTGACCACACACTGGCCACCTCTCCCACTGCAACTGACCACACACTGGCCTCCACTCCCACTGCAACTGACCACACACACTGACTGACCACACACTGGCCTCC